GTTCCCGCCACACTGCACGGGTGGTGAGGCCTCTCGTGTCCCCGCAGTCACCCTGAAGGGCCTGGAGGACCAGCTGCTGAGCGTGCTGGTGGCCTACGAGCGGCGGGAGCTGGAGGAGCAGCGAGAGCACCTCATCCAGGAGACCAGCGAGAACAAGAACCTGCTCAAGGACCTGGAGGACTCGCTGCTGCGGGAGCTGGCCACCTCCACCGGGAACATGCTGGACAACGTGGAGCTTGTGCACACGCTGGAGGAGACCAAGTCCAAGGCCACCGAGGTGGGCGCCTCGCTGTGTGCCTCCGCGCCTGGGGCTCGGCCTGTCCTCCGGGGACTCGGGCTTGTTCACAGGATCCCTGATGGGCACGGGCCACATCTGCTGGGCTGTCCTGTGGGGCGCGGTCCCAGTGACAGTGGCACGCCCAGCCCTCCCAGGCTGAAGTCAGAGAAGTTGTCAGCTAGAAGGCAAAAACTTCCGGGGTGGCTTCAGGCAGGGCTGGATCTAGGCCTCTAAAAATACCATCGGGTCTCGGTGTCTCTCTCTTAGTGGGTGGGCCCTTCTGCTGGGTGCTTCTATGTCAGCTCCCCTCACGGTCACTGTGACCTTGAGGCCCTTCAGGTCCAAGTCCAAGGGTTTAAGTGAGAATCGTTTCCTGTTCCTATCACCAAGGTCCCACGAGTCACTTTAGTCTCAGTCCTGGCAGCCTGGAGGGGTAGGCTTGGATTGGCTGGGCCTGGCTCACACGTTCTTCCCTGGAGCCGGGGTGGGGCCCCACGTGGATGAGAGGGGGAAGGGTGAACCCCCCAATGCGAGCAGGGTGCAGGTTTTGTCAAGCCACAAAAATCCACCAAACATCTCACGAGAGGGTGGGCGTCCTCGGTCTCTGCTAGACCTCGGCTGCTTAGTGCCCAGGGGCATCCCAGGGGTCTGCCAGGTCCCCGCCACTCTGTCCCCCGCCCTGCATAGCCTTCCTGGTTGTGGCATGTGCATCCCTCCTGCAGGTGTCGGAGAAGCTCAAGCTGGCGGAGAAGACAGCCCTGGACATCGACAGACTGCGGGACGGCTACCGGCCGGCGGCCAGGAGGGGGGCCATCCTGTTCTTCGTGCTGTCCGAGATGTCCCTGGTGAACTCCATGTACCAGTACTCCCTGAGCGCCTTCCTGGAGGTCTTCGGGCTGTCGCTCAAGAAGTCGCTGCCCGACTCCATCCTCATGAAGCGCCTGCGGAACATCATGGACACGCTGACCTTCAACATCTACAACTACGGGTGCACAGGTGGGGCAGGGCGGTGCGCGGTGGCCTCGGCTGGGTTTCAGCTGCCCCCGTCTAGTGTGTGCACCAGAGGGATGGGAGAGAGGGAGAGGGCGCCCCTCAGTGGAGTGTGGTCGCCCCACACCCTTCTCCACTTCCCTGTCCTGCTGGGATTCAGGGCACGCGTCTGGTGTGGCCAAGACTCAGCCGCAGCTGGCCATGTGAGACTGCCCGTAACTGCCAGGCTACAGGGCTGGCCCAGCCCATCCTGTCCGCACTTAGGTATCTGTGGACAGTTTGCACAAAGCGGTCCAAATGCAGTCACGCAGTATGAGTATTTCATTTCATTTCCCTTAAATGTAGGACGTGGTGTATAAGAAACTTAGTTTTTGTTTGTGTTTCTTTTTAGAGAGAGAGACTTTTGCTATAGGGTGCATGTGCTCTCTG